CATGCCACACACAGTAATGGTGACTATTTCACCACTTTGTGTGGCAGCAGATTGCCGCTGAGGAAATAAAGGGACAGAGAGGTTCAGTGACTCAGCCAGGGTCCCACAGACTTGTGGGAAGTGGGGCCAGGACTCCTGTTGAGATCTTCATCTTCCTATACAGTGTGATTTTCATTGGTGTTAGAGGTAGCTTCTAGCCCTGGATGAGGAATGCAGGGTCCTACTGTCCATCCTGGTTTATTGGACTGGGGTCCCTGAGCTGGTCACTTCCCCCCCACAAGCCCCATCTGGAAAACTGTCTGCCTCATGGGCTCAGGATATGTCCAGGAGACTTGGGTGGGCACAGTGAGGGGCATCAGCAGCTTGTAGCTCTGCTGGTTTCCTGCCTTTGCTGGCAACACTAAGGCCATGGACGGTACTTGCTCCCGGCAGTCCTCCGGCACATGCACAAGGTCGCAGAACAAGGTGCTGTGGCTGAACCAGTAAAGGCCTGTTCCCACCAAGGTAAAAGCCATTTATAACCCACATCCCCTCCCTGCTAGAGCCCAGAGCATATGTCCTCACAGCAGAAAGGCAGCATTGCTTTCTTCTAATTTTCAGAGAATTCATAGGATGGGATAAGTCACCAGCTTTCAAGACACTGGGTTGGAGAATCAGAAACTGTCTCAAATTCTCACAGCAGAAATATCTATTGATCTGTGCTGAAATATTCCAGACATTTCTCTGAACACAAGATCCTGGCTATGGGGATGCCTTTATAATTCTCCATCTCTGAACTAACAAACCTTGAAGCAGGCCTCTGCCCTTGAACTGACAGCAGCAATTCTATTAAAGAAGTTTGATTAGAGAAAAAAAACAAGACCCAGAGAAGTGAAAGGATCTATATTTCATTAAATGCTGCTTGTTTTAAAGTGGGGGCATTTCCTGGGTGTCTGGGGAGCTGACATTTTCTATGTCTTGTTGGAAGAATCTGATCTTAAAAAACAGAAAAGTTTACAGCTAAGAGAGAAACCATCACTTCTAGATCCAAACTGTATTTGCAGAGAAGAAATTTTTGTCCTGGAAGTTTATTTATAAGCATTTATCAAGCACTCACTATAAGCCATGTGTCATTCTAGGTATTTAAGGGGTTTGCAAGAGTGATAAAGGTATTCCAATAAGATGAGGTGATACAGATGGTTATTTTTGATAGTATTTACTATTGTTTAACCAAACAACTGTTACGGTCTGTGGATAACCTACTATATGTCAGGCCTGGCCAAGGCACTAAGAATGTAATACAGGGCAATGTGGGCTCCTGCCTTCTAGAAACTTCTGGTCTAGCTGATGTGATGAGGACATGGGACATGGGAGTGTGTGAGGGGGGTCTGCAGAGTGACATTCACGAAGTACTTACCCATCGGTCATTTTGAACAAGGGTGAGAAGAAATCAGTCCTCCAGTCCCTGTGACATCCTGAAGCCAAAAACGCAAGGGAGCTGCTCAGACCACTAGGGGTGCAAGGATGACACCTGACCTGAGTGTCTGATTCCCAGGGCAGAGGACTGTACACCTCACGGGTCTGTCCACTGTGCAGGACAGTGAGGGCTTAACAGGAATGGGGATGCCTGCCCCGGGAAGGGCATTCTTGGGGCCAAAGGACATGGTTCTCTGACCTAAGATGTCAGTAAGCCCATGGAAGCACCCCTGGCACCCAAGTGGGCCTGAGGGGTCCAGGGGCTAAGGGGGCAAGGATGGATGCACTCAGCCCTCCTCCCCTCCCTTGCTCCGCCTCGGCCTTTGGTCTTGCTCTGAGATTGACCTTGAGCATGACCTCTCACTGATCATTTTCTGTGCTCTGCCTGCCTCTCCTGAAAGAGCACTCAGCCGGAGGGCAGGAGTTTTTTCTAGTGCCAGCAGTGCCATCCCTAACCCGGCTCATGTCACCTGACCTCTTTGGGATCTCAGCCTTCCCATTTGGAGTGACAGATCCAATATGGGTGGGCGGAGAGTTTGAGAGAAGCGGCTGGTGGGCCTGGGATCAGCTGGAAGGGCTTTGCAGGGAAAGGTCTGTCCCTGAGCTCTGCAGGGGGCTGCCAGAAAGGACGCCAGTGGGAGGGGACAAACCCACCCCCTTGCCTTCACGGAACCTGCTTCTTAGCTCTGACTTGGCAGTAGCAAGGAAAGAATATTCCAGAGTCCTAGGCAGGCAAGTTTGAAGCTCACCACAACCTTGAAATGCTTTAAAAGTAAGGCATGTTTTTAAAATCAGTCCCACCACCATTTTATTAATGAAGAAACTGAGGCACAAAGTGGTGAAGGAACATGTCCCTGTAGACACAGCCTGTAATATTAGGGCCAGGACCTAAATCCAGCAGTGGGACCTCAGAGCCTGGCCTCCTGAGTAGGGCTGACCATTAATTGCATTTTGGAGCAGATCCAAGTATATATTGAAACCACTTGGGAAGCTGTCTGCTAGGAATGTGATCAGAGTTCTTTGACAAAGAAGGAACCTTCACTTGATTTTTCTCTTTGGTGTCTTCTGGCTTTTGAATACTTTTTTGGGGAAACAGTTTTATTGAGATTTACTTCACATACCATACAATTCACCTATTTAAAGTATACAATTCAACGGCTCTTTGCATTTTTAGAGTTGTGCGAACATCACCACAGACTAGAACATTTTCATTACCCCAAAAAGAAGCCTGTACCCCTTAGCTGTCATCTCCCAAAGCTCCATCCCTTCTAGCGCTAGGCAGCCACCGATCTGCCTCAGTCTCGTTAGATTTGCCTGTTCCGTTTCTATTAATGGAATCATACAATATGTGTTCTTTTGTGAATGGTGTCTTTCACTTAGCAGAATGATTTCAAGGTTCCACTATGCTATAACATACCATTATTGCCAATAATGTTCCATTGTATGGCTGTATCTCCTTTTATCTGTTCACTAGCTGGTAGATGTTTGCTTTGTTTCCTTGTTTTAGCTGTTAATACTGCTGTGTCTATCTGCATGCAAGGTTTGTGTGGGCACATTTTCATTTCTCTTGGGTAGCTACTTAGGAATAGAATTGCTGGCTCACATGGTAAGTCTGTGTTTAACCTTTTGAGGAACAGCCAGACGATTTTCCAAAGTGGCTGCATCATTTTACATCTCCACCAGCAGGGTATGAGAGTTCCAGTATCTCCAAATCCTTAAGAACACTTGCTATTATCTTTTTAATTACAACCATCCTTGTTAGTGTGAAGTGTTTCATACTTCAACAAAAAATTGCAAGGGATATGTAAAACATCAACTCTAAGGTCCTAGCATATTTGTGGGTAATTCAGTGTCCAGCAATGTCTTCCTCAGAGCACAGATCTGCCTTGGACTGAGGAGAAGCAGCTGGCCTCCTCCATGGGCAGTCTGAAGCTGGGCGGCACTCTCCCATGTCAGACTTCAAGGGGGGCTGGTCAGGAGGCCCTCTGATGACTGACACTCTGTCGTGTCTTCTTGTCTTCCAGCGATTCATGAGTTCCCCACAGACCTCTTCTCCAATAAGGAGCGCCAGCACGGAGCCGTCCTGCTGCACATCCTCGGTGTAAGTGGCCCTCGTGGGGTAGGGGACGGTCCTAGACTTCAGGCCCGTGAAGCCTGTCTGCCAAGCATGGCAGAACCACAGTGAGTCAAAGGCCTCGTCCAGTCCTTGTAAGAGCCCTGTGAGGAGAACAGATCCTGGACCCATTTTAACCACAAAGAAATGGAGTCTTAAAGGTATTAGGTGACTTGCTCAGTGTCACACAGCTGGTGGCCCAAGAGCCAAAACAAGAATTCAAGTCTTTTGTGCTTCATTGCCTGCTTTTATAAAATGGGAGTGATGGCATCTTTCCCAGACATATCAGCATGAACAAATGTGAGTGAAGTGCATCAGACACTGCATGGCACATCATAAAGGCTCTACATGTGCTTACCATCATGGTCCCCCCCCGCTCCCAGTTTTACCACCTTGACATAACAATAGTTTAAAATGTGGATGCACTTCTTCTCAAACCTCCCTCTCTACTTCAGTGGGCCTTGCTGACAATGGTAGAGTTCAAGTACCAAAAGGAATAGTGGGTTCAAACCAAAATTATAGGTAAGAACCGCTGTTCTCTGATGGGTAGGAAGACTATACCCTGTATTCACTGCCTGTGTTTGTCAATAAAGTTTTATTGGAACACAGCCATGCCCATTCATTTCTATATTATCTGCAGCTGCTTCTGTGTATCCGTGGCAGAGCTCAGTAGTGGTGACATAAGCTACAGGTCCACAAAGCCAAAAATACTTCCTGTCTGTCCCTTTGCAGAAAGTTTGCCACCTCTGTTGTCTGGCACAGGGAAATGAAGGGGGTCATAGTCTGCTTTTCTGCTTTCGATCAACCACAGCAAATTTTCTTCCTGATTACAATTCCCAGCTGCCCAGCACCATTTGCATATATATTTATCCCAATGAAGTATTAGTTCTTGCAAGAGATAAGTAAGGAAGTGAAAGCTGGATTCTCACACAGGTAGCCTCCTGAGAATGACAAATGAGTGACGTTTTAATTAACAGGATAAAACATTAATGAAATGATGGTTGTAGGCAGATTTTGAATGGCGGGCCTGTGTCTTATTTCTGTGACGGAGTTATCTTGCTCGTCTTTCTGACTTCCCCATGCCCTCCCCGCTCACTGAGAGGGTGTGGGCTTGGTGAAATAGCCTCACGGTTGTGTTGTCCTGCCTTATTAAAGGTCTTGACTTGCTGAGATAAAACCTTTTTTTTTTTTCCTGAATCTGAGAGCACGTCAGGAACCCTTTAGATCAGGTGTCACCAGACTATGGCTGGAGGGCCACATCCAGCCTACCTCCTATTTTTATAAATAGTTCTCTTGGACCTCAGCCATACCCATTCCGTGGCTGCTCTTCTGCAGCAGAGTCCTGGTGACAGTGTGTGTGTGTCTGTGGAGATTAAAATATTTACTCTCTGACCCTTTAAGAAAAAGTTTGGTGACTCCTTTAAAGCAAGAGACGCTTGAGCTTTAGAGCCACCTTTTGTCTATAGCACTGGAAGCTTCTGAGAACTTCCTGGCCCGAGCGACAGGAATTGGGGTGCCATCTTGGCCTCCTTTTCTCTCCAGTGTTCCTGAGGCTGTCAGCGTGGCCAGAGGCCCTCCAGCCACACAGGACACCCTCTGCTGGGGAGATGATGTCAGGGGGCATTCCCAGGAGTGTGAACTCAAGTCAGAAACCTGAGATTTGTGGGAGGGTCTCTCCCTCCTTGCTCTCTCCCTTTTACCCACACTGGTAATATTTGTTTCTTTTTCTTCCTCCCCAAAAGATGAGTCAAATCCAGGGACAGCCATGCCTGGACTCCAGGAGACACCTGCCTCAGATGCCTTGGCTACAGCTGATGTATCTTCCACTTTGTTTTTCCTTAATCGTGAAGTTGTCAGAGTCACACTGTTTTAGCTGAAGCAACCCAGACTATCCTGCTGTTGCAAACAGAGCATCCAAATCCCTTTGTTTTTGAAGAAAGTGGTTTCCACCAGCCCTTAACATAAAAAACTGTCTCCTTTCCATAGGTCCTGGTCTTTGCTTCTCCCCCTAGCCTCACATTCCCTATTTCCCACTTCACTCTCATACTGTTCTACGTGCACCAGTGACCTTGCTGTTGTTCAAATGCACCAAACATGCTCCTGCCTCAGGACCTTTACACTTGCAGTTTCCTGGCAGTTATAGATAGTTTATTTACCTATTTATTTGCCCCCCAATTAGGTAAGTTACTAGCGGCAGAGGCTTTCCCTGGCATCCTCATCGTGTATCCCTGATGCCTAGAACAGCATCTGGCTCATGGGACGAGTCAGTAAAACCATGTTGGATGGACAGGATAGGGAGGAGTTCTGTGTATAAAACCACTTTAAAACGACTGATCTGCTTTTATTCTGTCATTACACAGATGAAGAAATTGAGACCTAGAGATGTGACTTATTCAAAGTCACATGGCACATAAGGCCCAGAATCAGCGTTAGAGCCTGGGCTCTTTGTTGTCAAACCTCCCAATGTAAATGCGTGTGCATTTGAACCTGTGCTGATATCAGGTCATGTGCAGGCAATGCTGGCTCTCCAATTGCTGTTTGTTTTGGCAGGGGTGGGCGGCTGGTAACAAGGAAGTGGTGCCTTCAGTAAAACTAAAGGTGAAAATTAGGATTATTATTATTTTAAATTCTTAAAATGGTGATTCTAAATGCTTTGCTTTCTGGCCCTAAAGATTAGACGTTGCCTTTCAAGGGCCTTCTCTGGTGCAGGGGAGAGAGCTGCTGCTTTAAGACGAGAGGAAGGAACACAGGCCATGTGGCCTGAGCTTTGGTTCCTTTTGCTACTCAGCAAGTTATTTCTCCTCTCTGGGCCTCAGTTTCCCCATCTGTCAGGGGATTGAAGGAGCAAATCTGTGTGGCGCTAGAGTCTTCCTTTGTGTCCCTCTCTGCCCACCTGCCTCTGCCCCATTCGTCCAGGGCATGATGATGCCTGCCCAGGCCCCCTCGGTACAGGGGCGCTCACTGACACTGTCTCTGCATCTCCTTCACAGGCTCTGTACATGTTCTACGCCCTGGCCATCGTGTGCGACGACTTCTTTGTTCCTTCTCTGGAGAAGATCTGTGAGGTACACGGGAGGGACTTGGGATCCCCCAGCCGAGCCTGGGAGAGCGCTGGGGGTGACCACAGGCATGTGGCATGTCAGGCGCCAGGCCAAGAAGGACTGGAGTGGGGAGCACTCTGGCAGGGAAGATTGTCAGGCCAAGCACTTAGAGGAGCCACCGCAAAGCCTGGCTCTGAAGTCCCCAGGTTAGAGTCGGCAGGTGGCCTCCTGCCCCAGACTTGGCAGGAGGAAATGCCTGCAGCCTGTAGTCATCATGCAGGACCTCTGGCTCCGCAGCAAGACCATTAGCAGCTAAGCCATGCCTGGTTGGTTAGGGAGCATTTCCCACAGTGAGCTGCAGCGGCCGTTTCCAGGTGGGGACATGGGACATGTGCCCCAGGAGGGTGCTGAGCCCCAGTGGCAGGGAAGGCCCTGTGTCCCAGCTTTTGTAGACTGATGTTTTCTCCTCAGGTACATGACCCCAGTCTCTCTCTACTCTGCCTTACTCTTGGCTTCTACCTCTGTCCTCAGCACCTACTATGTGCAGACTGCTCCAGGCCTTGCCACACTCCGTCCCAGGGAAAGCTCTCAGCTATTTGAAGCCACATGCTTGTGACGTTTGCAGCTGGGGACATGGGTTGTCAGAGGCAGGCACTTCCCCGCTGTCTCATCCTGCTGCTGAGCACAGAGCAGGGACTAGCTGCTTTTTAGCTGGGTCCTGTAGGCAGCAGGTGATCTGGCAAAAAATCTGCAAAGGTCTCCCCTCCCTATCTCCCCTTGTTCCCCACTCCACCCTTTGCCCCACTCAGATCAAGCCATGTGCACACCTCCATCCAAACACTTGTTGGAGAACCGAGCCAGAGAAAGAGCATAAGGAACAGAATCAGGAAATGACAGATGGGGAGGGCAGGGCAGGAGGCTCAGACCTCAGGGCCCCTGGGGCACCATGCTAAGGGTTCAGCCGTTCGAGCAGCCTGTCGCTTCTTCAGAGGAGGTGCCCAGGGAACACAGTCACCTGGCCCTTATGGAACACCCACCTTGCATGCCCGCTGATGTGAGAGCTTGGTCACAGCAATGGAGCTGAGCCCTCTGACTCTCTGGGTTTGACAGAACCCTGTGGAAGAGTGTGGCTGGTGGCACAAGACCACATAGAGTAGAGGTGCCCCGTGAGGTTATGTGTCTCCCCAAGGACACAGAGGTGAGTGAGAGTCATGGTCTTGGCCTGTAGGCAGGGTGGAAGGGGCTCAGCATAAAGGACTGAGGAGCTGAAAGGAGGCAGGGAGCGTCTCTCTTAAGGAGAAGTCCAGGAAGGCTTCATGGAGGAGGTGGCATTTGGTCCTGGCTTCAGAAGTGGGAAGGATTTCCACAGTAATGAGGAGAAGGGCATTGTAGGCGAAGCAGTGGCCCATGCAGATGCAGCAAGGATGCAGGGCAGGATGTTTGGATTCTGCTGGAAGTTATCAGAGATGCTTTGATGGCAGAACCTCTTCTGTGGAACCTTCCTCTTTGGTGAGGTTCAAGTGGCCAGGCTTCCATTCTGGGGAGTCAGTGCTGTACCCCGACTCCAGCTTCTGCCAAGCCCGAACACCAATCCCTCTGAGACCCCTCCTGTAGCAAGCTCCCCTGGAGGCCATGATGGCCCAGGTGTTCCTCAGTGGCTTCAGAGCCCTGGGCTGCCTACAGGTACTTAGGGAGGTGAGGGCCAGGGGAGGCCAAGCCCTTCCCTGAGCCAGCCTGCCCAGAGGCCTTCTGAGAACCACAGGGTAGGTGCTTTCCAGTGGGCGTTCAGGTAGACCAGGGATCTCTGCAGTTTGTTTAAGCATCCGCAACCACCAACACCACATCCTAGAGGAGATAGTGGGCCTCTGTGGCCAGAGCGCAGCCTTGCCAAGTGGACTGGGCCTTGACCCTGGGGACAGGACGTGTGGGCCTTTGTCTCAGTGAGCAGTTGGTATTGACCTGCCACTGAGAAGGCCTGGAACACAAGAGTCAGGCTATGTGCCTGAGGGCTCTGGGTCCCACACCCCATTGTGTAGAGGTCTGCATGGTAACTAAGGTCAATGTGGGCATCAGGGGTGACGGGCACTAGACCAGTGGACCCCCACTGAGGGCCAGTGTGTACCAGACCCCATTCTAGGCCCTGGGAGTCCACAGATGTAAAAGACCAACCCTGCCCTTGTCATCCAGTGTGGAAGGGCAAGCATGTGGGCCATAGATGCTCTTTGTGCAATTTGTGTTTCGGTAACAGAGGACCAAAAACGTGCCTGTCCCCAGGGGAGTGGCTGGCTCTGGGTATACACCTAGAAAAGCTTCATCAAGGAGGCATCATTTGGGGCTCAGACAACGAGCAGAAATTGGTAGATGGCGGGAGGGGATGGGACTCAGAATTGAGTGCCTGGTAAATGGCAGTGGTCGTGTGCTTGGCTCAGGATGGACAGGCTGCCCACTGAGGAGCTGGGTCTGCCCACAGCACCACTCCCCACACTCTCCCTGGCTACCAGCATGTCCAGTTAACATGTCCACTGCCCCCATATCACAGCCTGGGGGTCTGTGGTCACTTCCATTTCAGAAGCTCCATCTGAGTGAAGATGTGGCTGGAGCGACCTTCATGGCTGCAGGAAGCTCAACGCCTGAGCTGTTTGCCTCTGTTATAGGTAAGAAATCCCCCAGCCAGAGATGCAGGGTCTAGAGAGAGGTTTGCTCCCTGACCAGTGGGGGCATCTGTCAGCTCTGAGCCTCTGTTTCCTCATCTGTAAAATGGGAGTTGGAGAGGCAGGTGTAAAACTGTGGTTACCTGGGGGCGGAGTGGAGAGGGGTGCTCAGGGTACAGGATTTCTTCTGGGGGGGATGAAAATGTTCTAAAAATAGAGTGTGGTGATGACCACACACTGACTGTTCCAAAGCACTGAATTGTATACTTTCAAGGAGTGGATTTTATGGTATGTGAATTATATCTCAATAAAGCTGTTCCAAAAAATTGGGCGGCTTGGAGTCGCTGGTCCCTGAGGGCCCTTGCCCGCTCTGGTTTCGCTGTTCTCACCACGTGGCCAGTGTCTGGCAGCAAGAACAGCTTCCCTCAGTTCCTGGGGTGGGAGGCACGGACCCCACAGCCAGCCTGGATCTGAGAAGCGGCAGACCTGGGGCCTTGCCGGTGAGGATTGCGCCTCTCCTTTCAGGCGTGTTCATCACCCACGGAGACGTCGGGGTTGGCACCATCGTGGGCTCTGCCGTGTTCAACATCCTGTGTATAATTGGAGTTTGCGGATTATTTGCAGGGCAGGTCAGTGGTTTCTCTCCCTTATGAAGTAACACAGGGACACCAGTGGGGAGTCAGGGCTGGGCCTTAGCTGTGCCTTGGATTCCCTGAGACTTGGGCGCACCAGCTGGCCCTCTGAGCCTGTCTCCTCCCAGGTGGAGGTGATCTGGCATTCCTTCCACCTCCGGCTGTCGGGGAGTCTGAGAGCAGGTCTGGGAGCTTCTGCCCTCTGTCCAATCTGAAGGTCAGCGTTCATTAAACAGCCGTAAATATTTCAGGGGCTCCTGCTCCTAACCCTAATCCTATATCCTATAACTAGCTTCTGGAGCCCTGACCCTGAGATAGATTCTGGAAATATTTGGGGCCTGACCTTGGCCTCCCCAGCAAGGAGCTGTTGTTGATGTCCCGTCGCATCTTCCTGGGCCTCAGAGCCATGGGGGATATTAGACTCTCCTCAGGGTCAGGCTCACGGTTAGGCCCTCCCTGCCTGGCCAGGGGAGGTAGAGGTAAGCAGCTGTTTACCAATTTACCCATAGGAGGTTCCAAAATGGGGAGGGGGTCAGGGGGTGGAAAGCAAGTGCCCCAGCCTCCGCCTTAATGCAGGGCTTCTGCTGTGAAATGCGCAATGTTGTCAGCTTAGAGGGGCAGGGGGCAGCTTTGCCATCACTCATGAACATTTCATGGTTTCCTTCTGTTCCCTAAACATAATGAAGAGCACAGGGTGGCCTTGAGCAGCCCGGCAAGATTTGTTTCTGGCTGCACAGTTAAGAGGGGCTCCATGGGCTGAGGTCTCGGGGAGGTGGGGAGGCCCCCCACCAACATGTCCCCAACCAACAGCAGCTGATGGCTCTCTGCTTGGCAGGTGGTCCGTCTGACGTGGTGGGCCGTGTGCCGAGACTCCGTGTACTACACCCTCTCCGTCATCGTGCTCATTGCCGTGAGTCACCTCCTGCCCATCTCTGTCCCCAGCACTATAACCAGAGAACCCACAGCGCCCGTCTGGGGCTGTGCTGACACTCACGGCAGTCAAGTTGAGCAGTCTCCTTGCCACCGTGAAACCTCATACCTCTCTTCCCAGAAACCTCATACCTGCCTCCTCGGTTATGGAGCAAGTTCGGATACCACCCTCAATTCAGACAGGCCTTGAAAAAGCCAAAGCGTGTGTCCTGCAGTCCAAGCAGCTGAGCTCACGCACTCTGCCTGTCAGAGGCCCCTGGGATCCTCACTTAGAGCCATTTCCTAAGCAGCAGCTTCTATTTCGCTAGCTCACTGCAGAGCGGGAAGGGGAGGCCGGCTGGAGGAGGGGGTGCAACAGGGACCTCTAGGGCCTGTTAGGGGGTGTCCCCCTGAGGGCTGGGGTGACATCATGGCATGTACCAGTGACCTGACAGTGAAGCGTGTGACATAGGCCGCTGCCAAGGAGTGTGTCCTCCACAGGGGAGCAGGTTCAGTCCAAAAGGAACTTCAAAGTGGCTATATGAGGGCAGGTCATCTTCAAGCAGGGCAGATCCCTGTGGCATGCCCAGATTTTAGGGCATGGTACATGCCCTCCAGTGACAGCTCTCAGCCTTACAAGCTCTAGAGCCACCTGTGGCTGACAGTCATATCCCTCGTATTAGTTACCACTATGTAACCGATTTCCCCAAAACTCAGTGGTTTAAAACCACAAACATATATCGTTCCTGTTTTCTACAGATGACAGTTTGGGGGTGGCTTAGCTGAGTCCTCTGGCTCAGGGTCTCAGGTGGTGGGTGGGGTATGGTTACTGCAGGGTCCCCCCAAGCAAGGCTATGCTAGGAGCACTCACGTGGCTGTTGGCAGGCCTCAGGCACTTCCTCACTGGCTGCTCCGTTGTGTAGCTCACAACATGGCAACCGGCTTCCCTCAGAGCAAGGTGAAAGGGCCCCAAGGTGGGAGCCAGCCTGACTGTACCCAGCCTCAGAAGTGACAGCCGATCACTTTTGACACATTCTGTTAGGAGCAAGTCCCTAGGTCCAGGCCACATGCACAAGGGGAACAAGAATGGCAGATGGTGGGATCACTGGGGCCACCTGACAGGCTGCCTATCACACTCCTGAAAATGAAAGTTACAAAATAACTTACCTACACACAATTTCCAAAAATATCAACCTAATGCCCAACTTACACTTATAAAGGGCAAACGGAAGTTGTTTGTAATAGAAGATTACATCTTTGAGCATATAAATATTTTGGCATGATGCTAGAGCCCCCGATGATGTGGTGAAAAATCTCTGAGCCCAGTGGACCCTGAGGCCAGAGAGTCGGGCTGGCCCTTAAACCCTGTGGGTGGTGCTCACATCGGTGATGTGATTTTTCAAAAGTATGAATGACTCTTGATAAAATCCTAGACAGAGCCAAGTGTAAATGCCCCTCCATCTGCGTGACTGAACCTTAGTAGAAAATTAGTTAAAACTATGTCCATATGCTTTGATTTGTAAAATGGAGTTCTAAGCTTAGATCTTTTTTCTTTTTTTTTTTTAAGCTTGGCTGAATATTTAGCAGAACATTGAACATCTGTGCCAAATGTGGAAAAACTCCTCCCATTGAAGCATTTCACGTGTCACCTCTAAATGCCAAGTAGCCATCCATTGGGTGGTAAAAATGAAAAACATCTCCCATAAATGTCCCCTAAGTTGTCCAGGTGGTGGCACTGGGCTCTCCCTTCTGTTGGTGCCACTTCTTCAGAGCCTTGAGTTTGGGGAGCCTCACAGTGATGCCCAGCTAGGATGACCCTCTGGGAAGTGGCAGTTTCTGTGGGGGCTGCCCGCTGTGACAGCCAGGAGGGGCTGAGGATGGGCCCAAGTCCAGACAACAGCCCCTTGGCCTGTCCTGGCATCCCACATACAGAACCTCGTGTCTCCAAGATCAGATGGGTGGGCTCAGCTCCTCCCCCTTCCTGTCCACCCTAAGCCTAGTCAGGGCGATGCAGGACCCTCCCCAGGCCACAGAAGCATCCATCTGTCCCGGGCCAGAGATGCTGGGAGGTTGGGTGACGTAGTGCCCTCCTAGGAAGCATCCCTCCTTCCTCCCTTCAAATGCTTACAAGCAGGTCCTTTGCCCTCAGAATTGCCCTTCAAATGCTACAAGCAGGTCCTTTGCCCTCAGAATTTCCAAAGTAGTTACTCTATATTTTTAAAAAATAATACCCCTTTCCTCACATAAGTATCTATATGGCAGGTATTCCTCCCAATAGGTATTATCACTATGGATGGATAATAGGTAGGTAGGTGTCTGTTCACATTTTAAGATTCTTGATTTTAGCGACCCTGCTCCATTACTGAGGGCTGGCCCCTGCCGCCTGGCCCCAGCAGCTACTTGGACTGTAGTGAAGCACAGGCCATTTCTCTCGGGAGGCCCATACTAAGGCCGGGCCACATACTGCAGCATCTCTGGCCTAGGCTTCGACCTGGGGAAAGGTCACAGTTGAGAAACCCCAAAGTGGGGAGAGGCTTCCAGCTTTCCATAAAACCAGTACGAAGCCAGTACGTGTCCGCTCTGGGTGCTTGGGGTCTGTGTAATTTCTACTTTTGGAATAAATGTGTTCCCTCACCCTTGGTTTCTTTTGCCTTCCAGTTCATATATGATGAAGAAATTGTGTGGTAAGTTTAAGTTTCTCATTGTTCCTTTTTTGTGAGTATCCTTGCTTAAGGGGCTTATTGAATCTTTTTTAGACTTATTTTTACAAACTCAAGCTTGTGAACTTGTGAAAGTAGAAAGGGTATCATTCCAAGCAGGCATGCCTTTTTTTTAATCCTTTCAAAGTGACAAAGAGTGCTTCCCTGAATATTTCTGTGCTCCCAGACATCAAGGTATATGATAGAGGAAATAAGGAAGATAAGCCTAAGCATAAGCCGATATGGAATATGAAGCCAAGGACCTAGAGTGGGCATGTGGTGGGGGATACGACAGGTGAGTCAGGGAGAGGGTCCCAGGCGGGACAATGAAGAATCCATATCAGCAAAATAACATCAGATTCTTCCCTCACACCTTGTGCAAGAATAAGTCCCAGATGAATTAGAGATCTCATTGTAAAAAGCAAAATTAAAATAATTGAGAAAAATTGTAGGGACTCATCTTTATGACGCTAAAGTAGGAAGTGATTCCTTAAGATACATAACACACAAACTTTAAAGAAAAGGTTGATAATTTACTCTATGGGGCATGAATGTGTCTTACATCCAAAGCCATATAAATGTTCTCCTCATGACGGTGATTCTGTAACCTGTATGTGTTTATTGGTGGAGATACGTTCAGGAGGCCTGGCTGAGGACAGTGAGGTGGATGACATGAGCGGCTGTGCACTGTGGGCCTGGGGAGGCCTGGTTCTGGCCCCCACTTGGCCCCCACCCCACCGTGTGAGCCAGGAGGTCTCTCCGCTTCCCGTCTCCCTTTCCTCACCTGTGATGAAATTGGGGTGGCGGTGGTCAGATCTCTTACAAGTCCCTTTGTGGCTCTGCTAGTCTGTGGGCTCTGCCAGCAGAGGACAGGCTCCCCAAATGACTGCAGCTCAGGCTGGCACGCAGCAGGCCTTTAGTGTGCGTTGGTCAGATGACCATACAGGTTAAGCCACGTGGCTCTTCAGAGGCTGGTGGTCGGAGCTACAAACACCCCGCCACGTGTGGGCTGGGCACTGCGTCTGCAAGATGGCAATACTAGTGCATCCTCTACAAACCCCCGCCCCCTCCCCCCAAGTGGTTGGCTCATGAGCTTCTGTGCCCAGGGCCTCTCTTCAGGCAGCTCTGAGAGCCTCTGCCCACCTGGACCCACGGCAGTTCTCAGCCCTGGCCAGAATCCTCGGTCACTATATGATCTCTTAACAGTCAAATCTTCAAGACTCTAAGCCAGTCCACTACCTGAATCCTGGGGTGCAGTGGCCCTGGTCCTCCTTTTTCTAGGTAGCTGGAGAAATTCCACATGAGTCCTACAGACCCTCTGTTGTTGAGAAGGCTTCAAGAGGGCTTTGGATGGCAGGGCAGCCATGGGCTGGGGTCCTGGGGACCCTGGGAACAGGGACGGGAGAGGACATCCTGCCTGCTCCACCCACTCTCTGTGCCTTGGGCCTCCCGAGCTCTAACCACAGTCTCCTTTCTCTCTTTGAGGTGGGAAGGCCTGGTGCTCATCATCTTGTACGTGTTTTACATTCTGATCATGAAGTAAGTGCCCGTCCTCTTCTCCTGGGCTAGCTGACACCCTGTCCCACATCCTGCTCGTTGGGGCGGGCGATACGTCCCTCAGAGCTTTCGGTCCCCTCTGGGCAGTCCCGGTTCTCCGGGCAACACCCCCCTGGGGGCGGCTGGAGTGGGTTGTTCAGACACTGTTTAGGGGTGCTGTCCACACCTGCACCAGGGGAGACAGGGCTGGTGGGTGGAGGATGCTTCAAAGAGCCAGGCTGCATAAAGTGTCCCGTGTCTGTTCTAGCCTTTGGGAAATGGTTCCCCTCAGGGCCACTGCCTTGCGAACTATAGGGGCACCACTCATAGTAAAAATTCGGACACTGAGGGCAGGGCAGCACCCCTGCGGCCCTACAGAAGCTGCTCAGGTTAGAATGATCTCAGATCTACCCATGAGGAATATTATTCAGCTATAAAAAGGAAGGAAATTCTGTCACATGCTGCACATGGATGAACCCTGAAAACATTATGCTGAGGGAGAGAAGCCAGTCACAGAAGGACGTATGTTGTATGATTCCACTTCTGTGAGGCAGTGAGGAGAACCAAATTCATATGGACAGACAGTAAATTACAGATTACCAGGGGCTTAGGGGAGGGAGTAATTAATGTTGATTATTAATGGGCACAGAGTTCTGTTTGGGATGGAAATGTTTTGCAAATAGTGGTGTGATGGTTGCACAAACATTGTGAATATAATTAATGCCACTGAATCCTGCACTTAAGAATGGAAAATAGTTAATAAAAGAGCAACTTTTATGGTCCATGTATTTTTCAACATTAAAAAAAAGTGAAAAGAAAGAACCATCCATGAGCTGAACCATATTGAGGTTTTATCTTCCTCTTCACACCTCCAAAGGTAATTAAAAAGGAAAATAACCCTGAGTTTTATGACTCTGAATCCTCCTATTTATATCAAACATTTATAATGTTTTGTAAAAATGGTGATCAGCTGTCAAACTGCAGCAGAACTGTCCTTAAGTGAGCCCCCCCCATCAGCGCGTCTCAGGGAGGTGGGCAGCCTGGGCAGGGTGTCTCGGGGGCGGGGTGGAGCTCTTTGGGAGGATGGTGGCTCTGGCCGAGGGTCGCGGGATGGCCCGCTGGGCAGCCCATGGGAACAGGGCTCCTGGCTGTGGGAGAGACGGCAGGCCTGCTCACACCTCCTTCAAGCCTGTCCCTGAGGCCGGGCTACACTGTTTTGTTAGGACAGGCTTGTGAAACGCAGTAAGTAGGCCTTGGTCATTTTCTTGGGCTTGAGGATCTCGGACGCCCTCAGGAAGCACGGTAGGAGCAGACCCCTCAAATGGCATTGTTCTGTGGTTCCTGTCAGGAAACTCCATCAGCTCAGGGGAAAACCCTGGGCTCCCCCCTCACCACTGGACACTCCCAGGGCCCTGCTGACTGCGTGCACAGGGGTGGGGCCCCTGGCAGGCCCCCTGCAGGTCTCCCTGTCGTTCTGACCTCCTGCCTTCTTGCCTTCCAGATACAATGTGAAGATGCAGGCCTTTTTCACAATCAAACAAAAGACCATTGCAAACGGCAACCCGGCCAGCAGTGAGCTGGAGGATGGTAATGATTACTGTGATAGTAATTCTGATGACCCTTCCATGCCATTGCTGGGGCAAGGTAAGGCTGAGCAGACAGGAGTGGCTGAAACCGTGTGGTTGAAACCGCCCTTCCTTTCTCTTTCCTGCACACGTGCACGCACACACAAAGCCTCTGTATTGCCGCGCTTACCTTTGGTCGCAGGACCCTAAATGAAGGAGAGAATCAGTGTTGGAGATGCTGCTTAGATGGGAGGAGGATGAAGAAAAAGCCGGCAGCCTCATCCCTGGGGATTTCTCCAGCCTCCTGAGGAAGGTTCAGGGCCTGCTCGGCTGTTCTGACGTGCAGCGAATCACATCCCTCACCCACCTAAAAGGCCAAAGACACGAAGCTGAGGACTTGGCATGGCAGAGCAGGCCTAGGTCTCCCTGCCATTCCTCAAATGCCAGGCCCAGTTCTGGAGAACTCTGTTCTGGAGGGACGTCTGGCTTGTCGCCCAGAGGAGCACCAAGGCCAGGAAAGGCAACCACAGAGCTGAGTAGGAACGCGCAGACCAGCCCCAGAGGGCCCTGCTCGGGAGCCCCTTCCCTGGGGGCTGCACCGTCCTTGCCTCAGCTCCTCTGTGGCCCCCTGGTCTGGGGGTCCGGGCCCTGGAGCCAGCCCATCCGCTCCGCTGCACCCCTTAAATCAGCTAGGCCCAACTGGCTGGTGCATTGTGACCTGGTCTTAATTCAGCCAGTGACCAGGCGATTCCCTCTGTGGGGGCAGCTGCCAGCCAGGCAGGAGAGTTTATGCTCTTTCCGCCTGAGGCCCTGTGTTAAGGCCTGAGTAGGGTCTTAAAGTGAGGACATGGGAAAACCCCTTATGCTGGCTGCCTCGAGTTCCCCTCGAGGTGCTGGTAAGGGCCTCCTCAACCAGGTGAGGCAGGTGGGGCCTCCTGAGGGTCTCTCTCTCCTGTTCCCTGTAGCTCTGGGCAAGTCACATCCTGTCAGGCGACTTTAATTGTGATGTCAGTGGTGGGACAGGTGGTCTCAGGCCTGTTGGCCTGTGTCTGGGAC